CCGCCGCCGCTTCAGTCCGCGCCAAAACTCTGTTTCTTACCTTTATTGTGCTTTATTGTGATCCACTGGGAAAGTGTGTTAAATGTCACGAAAGCCAGTGCAGAATTTAATACTTTGTTGTGTGCGAGCGAGGCCGAGGCGGAAGGACGCGCTGCGGAGGGTTGCCAGGTTTTCACAATAAAACCCGCCCAGCTGCGACACTAACTATTCGCTACAAATCTGACTCCAGGCGGTAAAATACATACATTTAAATACATTTGGCGGGGTTCCCACTGGTAGAACTCAGCATTCCAGGGGCTAAATATCATAGATATGCCTATATTCAGTGTTGGGGAGTAACTAGTTACATGTAACGGAATTACGTAATTTAATTACAAAATAAATGTAACTGTAATCAGTTACAGTTACTGAGAAGAAAATGTAATTAAATTACAGTTACTTATGAAAATGTTAACGCTTACCCAAATTGCATTGACTGCTCTAAAATATGAGACACCAATGCTTATTCGATTACTGTTTAATTTCCTATTTGGGTTTTTATGTATATGCTTTATTTTTTAAGAATTAGGAATTTTTTAAGAATTAATCTTTTTTACCCAAGGCATTGTTAGATGCCCTATCATAACTATGCAAAGATATATATATATTTTTTTTTGTCGTAGAATTTTTATTACAAAATTGCACTTTTACATTTTATAACATTCACATCCTATACCCAACCCAATGATCCCAAATAAAAACAGAAGGACATATGACAAAGGTTCAATTACATAATTAATAGGGGGAAAATAAATAAAGAAAAAGAGAAAAGAAAAAATAATAAATTCAAATATAATAATAACAATAATAATACATAACTAGTAAAGATTTGATTTCAAAAACAGTAGCTATTAAACTATTTCTTGTTATGATTTTAAATCTGTAGTTAACCTCAGAATGATCTCAAAGTAAAAAGAGGCGCTAAAGTCTGATTTTGTGGTGGCTGTGCTTTAAAATTAAATGATTATAATATCTTTATTATGAATGTCTGACAGTAATCAGTGTTGAGTTAACCCTGCCTTAAATGTTTTAAAATATATTTTTAAATAAAACATTTGTTAGAAATTTAGACAGGTAGTCAAAAAGTAATCAAATGTAATCAGTTACATTACTTGAACAAAGTAATTGAAATAGTTACACTACTTATTGCATTTTAAATATAGTAACTTGTAATCTGTAACCTGTTACATTTCCAAAGTAACATTCCCAGCTCTGGAAATATATATGTAGATGCCTCATTAGCAACTGTTTCTATGGGCTGCGATACATAAGCCATCCGCCATTTTTGGAACGCTCCGCGAACCCTCGAGCAGAGATGTTTGTCTTACTATAGAGAGATGAGAGGGTCTGTATTACTGCTATTGGAGAAAGCGTAACGGCTAACTTGGATCACGTGTGCCGTAATAACCAATCACATTACAGCCTTGCCGTCATTGAATTTCAGTCAGAGTTGTGCGACACTCAGTCGCCGTTTACGGATCCCATAGGAATGAATGAGAATGCCGTAAGCTGAATCCCAGCTGTCGCAAAAAGCCAGTGACTTCTCTTATAAAACAGCATTTTTTTTTGTGGTAAACCCTAAAAATAGTTCAATCCAAAAGTATTGTTTAGTGTAAAACCTATTGAAGATTAGCAGATAGCTGTCGATTCATTAAATGATGAGCTGTTTCCTCTAAAAAGCTGTTTATTCAGCGTAGTGAAGCCTCTCTTCCATCGACACCCATTCAATAAAACAGCCTCTGGTCTCCTTTCCGTTAGCATTAGCCGTTAATGCTTTTTTGGCTAATGGTTGCAGGCTTGCCTTCTAGTGGCTGTGCCTGTACAAAAGCAAGTTATATGCATGTATATCTTTAAATATTCATTGATTACTATGGTGAATGACGTCAAGTTGACCGTTCCAAAATGGCGGACGCGTCAACGTATCTGGATCGGTAGAATATGGCATCTATACATATTTATGCTAAATATCACGTTATTGGGGTTGCTTTAACCCGCGGGAATGGAAAACAACCGCGGCAACAGTGTTGAAGTAGCTCAATTCCGCGGGAAATCGGCGGACTTGGCAACACTGCTGCGGAGGGCGAGTGACCGAAGCGCGTACGTAGACACGGGCACGGCTACGCAAACAGCGCACACGGCGAGATGCGCAGGCACGCTTTACGCAAATGACGGAGCGCGAGCCGCACTGTGACGCGCGGGAGGAGCGAGCGCACGCGCGTTTACAACCCAATGTGAGGATTGAGATTAATGCAGTCATTTATAGGATCTGAACTGTTCACCTATTGACCTGCTGAACAAAAAAAACGTTTAGTTTTTAATGTAAAACAAATGATTCTTAGTTTTGGTTTGCAACGCTAAACAACCAGGTGATTAAAATGAATATAAGAAATCGGATTGGCTATTTAGCCTTAAAGGGACAGTACACCCAAAAATACATTCTGTCATTATTTACTTGCCCTCATGTCATTACAAACATGTTTGTCTTTCTTTCTTCATTAGAACACAGAAGAAGATATTCAGAAGAATGTAATGTAACCAAACAGATTTGGGTCCCATTGACTTCCATAGTATTTTAGTCTGTACTATGGAAGTCAATGGGAACCGAAACTTTTGTTTTGTCAAACATTTTTCAAAATATCTTTACATAAGAAATAAAGTCATACAGGTTTGGAATGACATGATGGTGTGTAAATCATTACAGATTTTTAATTTCTGGGTGGACAATCCCTTTATTGTGGTACAGTGATGGTGGATGATAATAAAATAGTGTTTTTTGTTTTGTTTTTTACCATGGTACTTGGTGATTGCCATATTCCTGCATCATATTTATGGTTCTCCTAACAGATTACACTTGTATTACATTTGGCGCATGTCCAAAACATGATATTACCATGGTACCATTTCCCAAAAACAATGCCAATACCATATTACATTTTGAATGACTATCATCACCAAATGAGTTCTGTGTTGCGCAGACATTCACAATCAATATTTTATGTGGCACTAATTTGAATTATTTCAAAATAACGATAAAGTCCTGTTCTGTGCAAATCTTTAAATAGCAAATCATCTGCACTGGGCAAAACTGGATTGTTTCAGTGACATACACAGCTATATAATAATCTTGTATAACACAAAAATCGATTTGTTCTTTGAATTAGTTTATTGAAATTTTCCGTAAGAAATACTATAATGAATGCATATTCTCTTCACTCATGTCTCAATGCAAAGGGATGAATGGAAACTGCAAAATGATCAGAAATGGAATTGAGATTTTATTGGAGTTGCTTGCGTGGGAAACAGTCAGCAGGGCGGCGACGCTGCATTGGAAAACAAACAAGGACATAAACACACATGGGGTTCGTCTGTACAGTTTAAGGCTCAGATGTGGCACTCGGGGCAGGGAGAACTAGTATTGTTTAGTGTAAAACCTATTGAAGATTAGCAGATAGCTGTCGATTCATTAAATGATGAGCTGTTTCCTCTAAAAAGCTGTTTATTCAGCGTAGTGAAGCCTCTCTTCCATCGACACCCATTCAATAAAACAGCCTCTGGTCTCCTTTCCGTTAGCATTAGCCGTTAATGCTTTTTTGGCTAATGGTTGCAGGCTTGCCTTCTAGTGGCTGTGCCTGTACAAAAGCAAGTTATATGCATGTATATCTTTAAATATTCATTGATTACTATGGTGAATGACGTCAAGTTGACCGTTCCAAAATGGCGGACGCGTCAACGTATCTGGATCGGTAGAATATGGCATCTATACATATTTATGCTAAATATCACGTTATTGGGGTTGCTTTAACCCGCGGGAATGGAAAACAACCGCGGCAACAGTGTTGAAGTAGCTCAATTCCGCGGGAAATCGGCGGACTTGGCAACACTGCTGCGGAGGGCGAGTGACCGAAGCGCGTACGTAGACACGGGCACGGCTACGCAAACAGCGCACACGGCGAGATGCGCAGGCACGCTTTACGCAAATGACGGAGCGCGAGCCGCACTGTGACGCGCGGGAGGAGCGAGCGCACGCGCGTTTACAACCCAATGTGAGGATTGAGATTAATGCAGTCATTTATAGGATCTGAACTGTTCACCTATTGACCTGCTGAACAAAAAAAACGTTTAGTTTTTAATGTAAAACAAATGATTCTTAGTTTTGGTTTGCAACGCTAAACAACCAGGTGATTAAAATGAATATAAGAAATCGGATTGGCTATTTAGCCTTAAAGGGACAGTACACCCAAAAATACATTCTGTCATTATTTACTTGCCCTCATGTCATTACAAACATGTTTGTCTTTCTTTCTTCATTAGAACACAGAAGAAGATATTCAGAAGAATGTAATGTAACCAAACAGATTTGGGTCCCATTGACTTCCATATTTTTTTAGTCTGTACTATGGAAGTCAATGGGAACCGAAACTTTTGTTTTGTCAAACATTTTTCAAAATATCTTTACATAAGAAATAAAGTCATACAGGTTTGGAATGACATGATGGTGTGTAAATCATTACAGATTTTTAATTTCTGGGTGGACAATCCCTTTATTGTGGTACAGTGATGGTGGATGATAATAAAATAGTGTTTTTTGTTTTGTTTTTTACCATGGTACTTGGTGATTGCCATATTCCTGCATCATATTTATGGTTCTCCTAACAGATTACACTTGTATTACATTTGGCGCATGTCCAAAACATGATATTACCATGGTACCATTTCCCAAAAACAATGCCAATACCATATTACATTTTGAATGACTATCATCACCAAATGAGTTCTGTGTTGCGCAGACATTCACAATCAATATTTTATGTGGCACTAATTTGAATTATTTCAAAATAACGATAAAGTCCTGTTCTGTGCAAATCTTTAAATAGCAAATCATCTGCACTGGGCAAAACTGGATTGTTTCAGTGACATACACAGCTATATAATAATCTTGTATAACACAAAAATCGATTTGTTCTTTGAATTAGTTTATTGAAATTTTCCGTAAGAAATACTATAATGAATGCATATTCTCTTCACTCATGTCTCAATGCAAAGGGATGAATGGAAACTGCAAAATGATCAGAAATGGAATTGAGATTTTATTGGAGTTGCTTGCGTGGGAAACAGTCAGCAGGGCGGCGACGCTGCATTGGAAAACAAACAAGGACATAAACACACATGGGGTTCTTCTGTACAGTTTAAGGCTCAGATGTGGCACTCGGGGCAGGGAGAACTCTGGGATTGATATTTCAGGTCGTCATTACAACAGCTCTCGGAGAGTTTCATTCCTCTAAACTCAACGTTCACAAGCGACAGTTTTCAAAAAGAAACAAAAACAGGTGTATAACAAGTAAAAACAACATAACACGTCTCTAACATACATGTGTGGCATATTCATATTCTCATAATGATGTGAGCAGATCAGAGATGAGCCGACGGAGTGTGGATGGCACATTTTTGCGCGGTTAAATATTGTGCAAAGTTTGTCCTTTTTTAAAGTGAGCAGTATTCAGTAGAATAAATAAATGTAGATATCTGTAACCGTTATATTTCCTCTCACACATATTCTTCAGTCCCTTTATGATGAGCTTGTGGTTTGACTATACACTGCGCTCATAAAGTATTTACTAAAATGTCTATATACTGTAGTCTCCTCACAAAAAGCAGCATTGTTCCCTTGTCATGCAGTAACAGTGATCCAGTGCGGTGCCTGTAAGCATGTGTGTGTGCGTTACTCCAGACGTGTTCAGATGACGTTTGCTGCAATTCATTCGCTTATGCTGCTGTTCCCGTGTTGATTTCTCTGAAGCATCCTTCATTTTCCACAGCATGAACACATGAGTTCCTCCAGCAAGCATGAAGATGATGTTAATCCTGAAAATGAACAAAACAGAACATTCAGTCAATAACAGGAACACGCAGTGAAGGAACAGAAAACACCTTCAGAGGAGCAAAGCTTGACGTGAGTCTGCCAGTGATGATGTCAAACACGTCATGCATTTCAAATAACATAAAAACACAGGCCTCAGTAACATGCCTCCATTTCAACATTATCTCACTGAAACTGAAGATCTACATTTTCCTCAGGAAAATGTCAGTGGTGTTTCCCGTGCAACAATGACAGAGTTCCGGATGGTATCCAGGGCATTGCTATGTGGTTGCTATGGTGTTCAGTGTGGTTGCTAGGGTGTACTGGGCAGTTGCCATGTGGTTTACAGGGTTGTTATGGTGTTCTGGATGGTTACTAGGTTGTTATGGTGTTCTGGGTAGTCGTTAGGGTGTTCTGGGTTGTTGTTAGAGTGTTTTGGGTGGTTGCTAGAGTTGCATTGGTGTTCTGGGCAGTTGCTATGGTAATCTGGCTTGTTGCTAGGGTGTTTTGGGTGGTTACTATGTGGTTGCTAGGATTGTTATGGTGTTCTTGGTAGTTGGTAGGGTGTTCTGGACGGTTGCTAGGGCTGTTTTGGTGTTCTGGTTGGTTGCTAGGGTATTATGGGTGGTTACTATGTGGTTGCTACGGTTGTTATGGTGTTCTGGGTAGTTGTTAGGGTGTTATGGGTGGTTACTATGTGGTTGCTACGGTTGTTATGGTGTTCTGGGTAGTTGTTAGGGTGTTGTGGGTGGTTGCTATGTGGTTGCTAGGGTTGTTTTGGTGTTCGGGTTGGTTGCTAGGGTTTTTGTGGTGTTCTGGTTGGTTGCTAGGGTGTTATGAGTGGTTACTATGTGGTTGCTAGGGTTGTTTTGTTGTTCTATGTGGTTGCTAGGGTGGCTATGTATGTGGTTGTTAGGGTTGTTTTGGTGTTCTGTGTGGTTGCTAGGGTGGCTATGGTGTTCTGGGTGATTACTATGTGGTTGTTAGGGTTGTTTTGGTGTTCTGGTTGGTTGTTAGGGTGTTCTGGTTGGTTGCTAGGGTGTTCTGGGTGGTTACTATGTGGTCGTTAGGGTTATTTTAGTGTTCTGGTTGGTTGGTTGGTAGGGTGTTATGGGTGGTTACTATGTGGTTGCTATGTTTGTTTTGGTTGGTTGTTAGGGTATTCAGGATGCTGGTTGCTAGGGTTTCATGGGTGGTTACTATGTGATTGTTAGGGTTGTTTTGGGTGGTTGCTAGGGTTGCTATGGTGTTCTAGGTGGTTGTTAAGGTGTTCTGGGTGGTTACTATGTGGTTGCTAGGGTTGTTTTGTTGTTCTGGGTGGTTGCTAGGGTGTTCTGGATGTTGCTAGGGTGATTTGGGCAGTTGCTGTGTGGTTGCTCTGGTGTTATGGTTAGTTACTATGGGCTTCTGGGCTGTTCCTATGTGGTTGCTACGGTGTTCTAGGTAGTTGCTATATGGTTACTATGATGTCCTGGGTTGTTGCTATTTAACTCTGGGTGAATGCCCAGATTAGTAAACAGTTAGTCAACACTATTAATCTCAGTGAGCGTCATCATGTGGTCACATGACTCATGGAGATGATCTGCAGTACCGCTCTCTACCAGCAGAATGCAGTGTGTTCAACCACATCTGCTCCTGATCTCACACACAGACGATCATCATGTCATTCTGTTACAGGTGTGAGTAGTTAGTTCACACTCTGAAAGCAGCAGTCAGACGTCCGCAGATGTAAACAGCCAAAGCGTCACCGGTGTTAGAACAGCAGCCAATAGCAGCGCTCCAAAGCGCAGCACAGCAGTCAATCAGCTCGCAGTCAGCCAAGCCTACTCAAGCTGTGATTGGCTGTGGTCTTACCTGTATCACTCCTCCGGCGTGATCTCCGTCTCTTTATGCACCACCACTTTGGTCACTGACATGTCGGGATGTTGTTCTTTAGCCTCTTTAATGGCCTGAGCCAGAGCCTGACCCACAGTGACACCACATCGTCATCACAGGCCACACCCCCCAACACACACACATCACCATCACAGGCCACGCCCCCAACACACACATCACCATCACAGGC